GAGCAAAACACGGAACAGAGTCTGACAACAGTCCACTAGTGTTGAGTTTTTCTCTGGTGAGGTCAGCTGGGTCACCTTCAGCATGCAGTAAGTTAGTAAAATAAAGATGGTGGCATCGCGTAAAGTTATCAGGAAAGCCCCATCCGGGTTTAAATTGGATGCAAGACTACGTTTTATTTATTTTAAATTTAACAGTATTTCAAATGCCCCAATTGCTAAAGGCTCTGCACAACTTTTTTGCACAAGTTCAAGTTGCATTGTTCAAAATACCTGTCGTAGCACAGCAGTGCATACCTGTTTGCATTTAATTAAGGTGGACTAGATTAGACGGAAAACACACGTAGCAGATGAGGTAGACATAAACAGACATTCACAATACCGGACGACAAATGGACATAGGAGACAGGCTTATAAAGGAGCACAAATGAGAAGACTAAATTAAAATGGCTGGAGACAAATCCACATAATCAGAACAGGAACAGGAAGAACCAAATAAGGGCAAAAGGAAACACATGGGAAAACCAGGACATGGAACATGAGGAGAGCAAAACACGGAACAGAGTCTGACAACAGTCCACTAGTGTTGAGTTTTTCTCTGGTGAGGTCAGCTGGGTCACCTTCAGCATGCAGTAAGTTAGTAAAATAAAGATGGTGGCATCGCGTAAAGTTATCAGGAAAGCCCCATCCGGGTTTAAATTGGATGCAAGACTACGTTTTATTTATTTTAAATTTAACAGTATTTCAAATGCCCCAATTGCTAAAGGCTCTGCACAACTTTTTTGCACAAGTTCAAGTTGCATTGTTCAAAATACCTGTCGTAGCACAGCAGTGCATACCTGTTTGCATTTAATTAAGGTGGACTAGATTAGACTGTAATACAAATAATTGAGTTTGACAGGTGCATACAACATTTATGAATGTTTTGTCAGTTTGTCTGCTTGACAATCCCATTTTGCACTGCAGCAATACAATTGAAGTGAAATAAACAAACTGAGAAATGTTTATTTTTAGTTAAAACAGATAAGCCAGCATTTTCCTTTGGGGACATAATTTGATGTGGGAAAAAATGTAATAAATTGCAATATATTGCAGAATATCACAATATATTTAAAATCGCAATAATATTGTGTCATGACAGAAGTATTGTGATAATGTCGTATTGTGGGGCCTCTGGTGATTCCCACCTCTATATATTAGTGGCTCAAATAGCCAAGACTTTTTTTTTATGTACATTGTTTATGTATATTTATTTACAACTTTTATGAATTTCAAACGTACAAAGTCATTTCCATCTGTGATTATGATGCAGGAGACCTCCTTAAACTTATACACTTATTTATTTGTATAGCACACTTCACCACACATATAATTTCAAAGCAGAAAATTAATGTTTCTACATTACAGTTAAGAGTAATCTGTGTCCATGTCCGTATGGCAGAAATGCACAGTTCTAAGATAATACTATTCATGAAGTAGGTTAACGCCATGTGTTTATTTAAGCAAAAACAAAGAACACATTAAAGCAATGATTTTTATAAACTCCCTGATATCACATCCGGTCATGCATATACTATATGGTACTGTATATAGCAGATCTCAACTGCTTGATTGTTTATATCACTAAATATAATCATATTATCATTCAGCTCTAATGTGCTAAAATGCAAGAAGATTTTTATCTGTAAATCTGTTTTCAAACAATGTTTTCAAACAATTAAATAAACCCAGCAACCCAGATTTGCAATTGGTTCATTTAATAGAACTGGCTCAGTTGATTGATTTGTTCATGAATTAGACATCACTGCTCAAGCAAACAGATCAGAAAGCGTGCAGAACCAAGTCAACCTGCAAATGGATGTTCATGTACATTAAACTGAGATTAGTAGTTTAAAAGAAGTACTTCAGCACTGAAAAGAAATCAACAATTCAACTTTAAAGGGATCCCAGATAGTAAGAGAGCAGGTGAAAACCATTGAATCAATGTTTAAAAAAAAGTTGATTTGTCAATGTTAACAATGTTATTGTGATCAGTGTTTGCTTTAGTTGGGCTCTTGACTCATGCATTTCATGAAGTTAATTATCTTTCAGTGCTTACAGTAATGTTTCAATATAAACACTTATGCACTAAGTTGGAGTAGAATACTTTTTTTGTGATGGGTGTTAACTGTCAAGTTTTAATAAAGTTGAGAAATATTATTAAAAAGTGTTGAAGTTGATCTTTCATTAATTATGTAAATGTTCTGATTAACAAATGCAAAGATACTGTGGCAAAATATACAGAAATATTTAGACATCAACACTCATCATACAAACCTCAACAATGGTGACAATCATCAAACTAATTCAGATAAGCAGATCAAATGCAATGCATGCTGGGAGTCATGAATGAGTTTTGTACTATGTTGATACCCAGCATGCATTTCAGCATAAAATCTTATTTTGTTGATTGTCACTATTGTTGAGTTTCATACGCTGATTCTTGATGTCTAATTGATTCAGAAATGTAATTTTTTTTTTTGTATATTCTGTGAATTCATAGAAGTGTGATAGCCGTACCACTGCTTTTATCTCACACTGTAGTATCACACATAATAAACACAACACACTTGTGAGCAAATATTTAAATAACCTCACAAGGAATACAGTCACCATCACCTGATCCCAATGGATCTTAGTTTTCATTGCCTCAACAAATGTATTTTAGCACATTGTTACAAGAGACAATGAAAACCTAACATTAAAGTGCAAGAGTCTAGAGCCCAACT